TAAGATATGACTCATTTATTTTAAAGACTACAAATGAATATTCCTGCGACGAGGAGCTCTGTAAATGACCTTGACCTGCAATTCCGTCGTGCGCGGATTTAGCCACTGTGATAACAGTGTGTACGGAGCGCTCGGGCACACTGGGCTGCGTCCTAATGTGTGTACGGTTAGGGCACACAACGAAACATCTAACGGACAAGAGTACAGCCAGTCTACATGGACGGATTATGAATTATTTCGCGATACTGCATCAGGCACAGCTGCTATTCTGCATAAAACTATGCGATTATTCTTATGAACGACTAAAACAGAAATAACATTGTTTTTAGTGATTTTCATTTGCCGATGCGAAATAAAATTGTAGCCATGTACATTATTCATATGAAAATGGCTCACATATGATTTGAAGCTTTAGCGGCGACTCAACTCAATAAAATATTTCTCGGTCAATCTGACGCGTTAGTTGGTTACACGAAGAGATCTACGTTTCGGGCATCTTTGTCCCCATCATCAGGTTTCTGCTGTAACCGGGTACCACCGTCGTCTCGTAGGAGACGACGGTGATCCCTTCGTGCAACCACTTGACGCAACTGATGGCCAGAGAAAATATTTGCTGAATGAAAATGGCTGTCTTCCAAGATGTACGCCTTCCTTAATGGATATCTATTTTAATATGATCTTCCCATGTATGCATAGGTCTCAGATATGGGCTCGTTCCTTCATGTTTTTTTCGACAAAAATGTCATATTTATTCACACTTTCCGTTGCGTGCTGCATGCACAGCCAAACAATAAAATTTCTCGCTCTAGGAATAGTAGTTAAAGAATAACATTCATTGCGACTTTCATTATTCAATTGTCTGCTTCCCCATCTTACGCCGTCTTTCTTCGATAAACATTACTCAGTTAATCAAGTTAATTACTAATTTATAGGATAGTCTTTGTACCGATACGAATAGAGGCACTTAAGTGAAAGAAGGCTTCATTATTTATTGAAAAACTTGGTCTCGAACGTCTAATCCGATCAGAGGATGAGGTAAGACAGCTCCATTAAACTAACCATAACCTCAATGTCTCTGCAGTTAAGTTCACTCAACATAATCCCAGCTCGAATTATATAAATTCATGTGGGTTATTGTAACTACTGATAAAACAAGACTTCAAAAAAATTACATCTAATTGAACGGTGTGCAGCTGAGCAAAATTTCATTAGTCGCTTTACAAAATCTTGACAATTGTAAGAAATCATATTTGTCATTATAAACGGTAACATCTGAAAATTTATAAGCTCAAGTAAGAACATCGAAACGAGGCTGAATAGAAATACAGGGAGTTCATTTTCGAGCGCGGATACTGACGGTAGAGTTGCACGCTTATCCCGTCAATTCGGAACGCGCCGCGTAGAGTTAAAAAAATCCTCTTCTTGTACACTTCATGGGTTGCGCTCAAACCTATTTCAACATTTTATCCAAATTCTCAATGATGTTGGTTGTGGTCTTGTGGAATCTGATACAGTGTACACTAAGCAGCGATGTAATAATGCCTGGCCCGATCTGTGTGACGTAGGAAACCCCAGCTCAGGCGTAACAATGTAGTCCTTACTATCAGACCGTTACTTTAAATCCGAACATCGAAAGCGTGCAATCGCAAGCTTCCAGTATGTCTAGCCGCAGGTGATTCATTCAAAACAGAGCAAGTGATAATGCACCAGGCAAACACATGCTTGTCGGCCAATGCTGTTTCGAGGCGGACAGCCCTGAACGATGATTCAAAGGAACATCAAAAAAAGACCACCCAGAACATACCACGGCGAAATAACTCAAGAGGATGATAATCTACAGTCTCACCGCCTTAAAAACCTGATATCTTCTAAATGGTCCTCATAACGTATAAACTTGCATTTTTTTGGTTCGTATTGAAAAACAATAAAATAACTGCTAGTTCACAGATTC